TAATACACCATAATATTGCTAAACTGTTCAGTATAATTTCCCTTTGAAGTGAAATGAAGGTCTTATTTGATGGCACAATTATTTAGTAGTAATGTACTTGTGCTATGCATCTTGTCTATATACAATTGGTAAAGCTTCAATACATTATAAATTTTATAACGCTACAGTTTTGATCCTAAATTTAATATTTAAACGCATTTCCTCAAAAAACGGTAGGAAATTGGAAAAATATTTTCTGATTTTATTTATCATGTTCAACCCCAACTTTCAAAATGAGTGCGTATTGTATAGTTCAAAAATCGACCAGCCTTATTGGTCAAGTTGGTATGTAGGTGAAGAATTCGTGGGTGGAGGAATGATATAGTAATTAAGTCATTTCAGAAGTGTGGTATCAGTAACGCAATGGATGCGACCGAGGATGACATTCCTTTTGATCCGAATATTGGATCCATTCATGAAATATCAGATTTCTTTCCAAGCGATAGTGAAAGCAATGAGTCTTTTCTAACTTGTGAATGAAATTAAATAACAGAAAACCATGTTTTATTTTCTATTGTTTTTATTTAAGGTGTCTTTATGTTTTGATTTATTTTGTGTTTTTAAAGACAATATAATATTTTTGCGGAAAACGATATATAATTCTTTTTATATATCAAAACTAATTTTAGAGGAAAGAATTAGACTAAATTCATGTTTACGTTGATGCGACTACACATGCGCACAAACGAAATTAGAGTGCTGAGAATTTTAAATTAAATTTATTTTTTAATTTAATATATGTTTTGGGTATATAATCTAGTCGATTTCATTTAGAATCTTTTTCTTTTTGTTTATGTTCCCATCAATTTTGTTATTAAATGTTCCACATTATGATAAGAGATCTGTCAAAAATGGTAAAACATTGTAAGAGCCTGAAAGCAAATTTTCAGTGGATGATCTAGCGATTCAGTCACTTTCTAAACATTTTCGTCTAAGTAAATTATTTTCTCTTTTAATCAGAGTAGCATTTAATAATATAATAATTTTTAAAAAATCAAATTGAATTATTGTCCAATAAAAAATTTTCAACTCCAACTGTAGCTTTTTTTTACACGTTGGTGCGTCATATATTCCGAAATATGCGGTATTTATGAAAATGATCCAGTTAGATATGAGATATATTTTGGTAAAATTACAGAAATCTCATTATTCTTTGTTTCCAGACAAACTTATAACATGCGATGAAGTTTGTATTAGTGTGGATCGTGATAGGAGACGATCGAAAACCCGTTATTTAGGGGTTCCAAATTGTTTTTGCGTCATCACCCACTTTCACACGGAAAAAATTTCTACTGTCCACCTGTAGAGTAAATATTCAAAAGTATAGCAAACTTGTTTGGTTAAAGTTTGTTACTGGTTCGTAAACTAATTTTATGGTGTAGTGAAAAGTACCAAAGGGAGCTAACAAATAACGCTGACTTATGTTTATTGCCCACTATCTTCTGTTCAGTTGCTCATTGTCCACCCAACATTTGAAATCGCCCACCGATGATTCAGACTCAGACAATGATCTCAGATGAACACCTAAATATTTCCGAATTTCTATGAACAGCCTTATATAGAATTAAACAAGAAAAAATAATGCAGATTAATGAAAGCGAACAATCCGGGAGAAGAAAAAACAAATAATAATAACAACAACAACAACAACTCATCCCAGAAATAAATAAATACACAACAAAAGAAAATTATGTTTCTATCAAAACAAAGAAGCCATCTTTAGATATGAGAGCTACCTGGTGGCGGGGTGGGGGATAGTTATTAAAACACTCTCCTTTTAATGTAGGAGTTTCAGCTAAAATTCTGTGTTAATTTTACCAAAACCAAGAGAATATAATCTATAAATATTTGAATCGTAAAACTGAACAGCTTAGAATAACAGTAACGATTTAAAATCTATATGACAGATAGGACTAAAAGAAAGAATCATGCCAAGTTACCATCGACATGAAAAGATTGATGATATTTTAAAAGACTTCAAAACAAAGAAAGAACACAAGAGGTAGAGAAATTTTAATAAATGTTTACGACCAAAAGTAACCGATCAAAGCGTGTCGAGGCAAATTAATCAATCAGAGCGTGACGAGGCCAAGTAACTAATCAGAGCGTAGCGAAGCAAAGTAACCAATCAAAGCGTAGCGAGGCAAAGTAACCAATCAGAGCGTAGCTAGAAAAATAATCAGAGCCCAAAAATATTAATAATGATGAATATGAGATTTGAAGAGGAATTAAGATATTTTTTATTTGTTTTATACGTGACAGGTTTCTACTTAGATTCTAAATCTTGTAATACAAAAAAAGAGTAGTTAAAACCACAAATATAACTCACAGTTACGAGATTACCTCATTGCAAATGATGTTATATGCGCTACATTTTTGTTTATAATCTGTTTATATATTTTTGGTTAGTTTGAATGCAAAAATACAGTGGAACCTCGGTTCTCGAACGTCTTACATGTCGAACAAATCGGTTTTCGAAAAGAAAATTCGAGATTAAAATTCCTCAGTTATCAAAAAAAATTTCGTTTCTCGAACAACATTGCCAAACCGAGTTAACCCGGACGGAATAATGTCTGAGTCGACCGCCATGTTGTATATATTCGTGTGTTGTGTTGTGCTTTTTTTTCTTTCTTTTTTTTCCAATTCTATTATACTGTGAGTTTTTTCTCTACCTTGATTCCTATTCGTAAAATAGTTTCCATTTACGAACGTTTCGGGTTACGAACGGCCTTTACGAACGAATTATTAGGTTGGTGCAAAAATAATGACGTAAGAATGTCGTTTTTTAACGTTAAAAAATACGTCAAAAAACGACATTATTACGTCATTATTTTTGCACCAACCTAATAAATTCGTGAACCGAGGTCCCATTGTAACAAAATGTATGTTATGAGTATTTTTGGCTTAAATCGCGATTTATATGTTCATTTTTTTCTTTCTGTTACCATTTTCTAAAATTTAGAAACTTTTAAATATTTGTATTTATTTCCATTTACGATTATTTTGTTATTTGTCTGCCTTTCTAATGTTTTTTGCTTTACCTAATGTTTTATATATTTTAAAAAAAACGTTCATTTTTAGCGATCTAAAATTTTTACTTTACTTAAATGATCTGCCTAACAGTATACTTCAATCATTCGTGAATATCTATGCTGGTGATACAACGGTATCTGAGTGCACTTCCAAAAGCGTAGATGACCAGAGCTTGGAAGCTGATTTCTCCTCTGATCGAGCTCCAACATCTCAGTGGTTTGGGACGGCAGGGGGCGAATAGCTGATAACATTTAATCTGGAAAACCAAACTAGTGGCATTCCATCATCGACGATCGGACACAGAACTTCCACCAATGGCGATGAACGGATGTCCCCTCAGAGAGGCACAGTAGCTTGGGCGTCTGTTGGAATTTAAACACGATCCATACTTCAAGTGGAACTCCTACATACGATCTATCGCTAAAGATGCTGGGGAAATGCTAGCGCTCCAGCAAGTACCTTACTCCTCGTCCTATCCTCTTCTTTTATAACAGCCAAATCAGACAAAACTGCAGTACTGCTGTCATATATGGGCAGGAGATTTCACTTTCCAGTCTCGATATAGTCCAAAAGCGTCTCCGCGTCCTTGTGGATGATGAACTATTTTCCACTCTACAACACCCTTTCCTCAGAAGAAACGTCTCAAGTCTCCTGCTGCTCTATCGCTATTTCTATGGAAAGTGCTCGGATGAAGTAAAATCCTTGGTTCCACCAGTTCTAACTATCACGGCAAGGGCCCGCCATGGCACACACATTTTATCGAACAACCCACATAGCCTTCGTATTGCATTGGTTAGATGTAACTTCCACGGGAGCAGCTTCTTCTCACGAACCGCTACTTTATGGAACCAACTCCCAAGTGGATCTTTCCCCGATTACAAAAATCTTAACCTGTTCAAGTCTAGGGTTAACCATTATCTTCGCCACATATCCGCATAAACTGTGCCTCTTACACTGTAACCCTCTACTTCGAGTGGCTCCCATGCCTTGTACAGTGTGAACATCACTATAAAAAAAAACACATAATGTATATAATGTTTATATATACATAATATATTTTCCAAAGTTTGTCATAACCGCGGGGTGTTAGCGGGGACAAGCTCCCACAGTTTATAAAATGCTTCCATGGCATCCGTCTTAAATAGCCTCTGACAAGTCTGAGGTCCAAACCGGAAAATGGACGAAGGCGAATAACTGACGTCTGGTGACCAACTGCTTCAGATAGATGGAGCTCGATAGCTTAGGAAAAAAGTCCATCTATGGGGGAGGAAAACACCGATTTTAAGACTCCGATGCCTCGAGCCCATATCCGGAAAAAGCTATGAAATTCAATCCAGAAAGAACACCTGGAGTGGAGCCCTGAAGTCGGTTGGCTCTTAACTCTGATAACTTTCCCCCAGCTCCTGCAGCCAAGCCGTTCCCAAATGTAATGCCCTGTATTCCTTTAGATCTTATTTGTACGGCTGAGAAGGTAAGGTTGCATGTAATCTGACAGATTGAAGACCAGCCTTCCCCTAATCCCCCTTCGGCCTTGTGCCACATTTGTCTATTTTCAAAATAAATATCAATAACACTTGTCCTAGCCGTGAAGGTTAGATCTTGCGCAACAAAGGAATTTAGTTCGCCCGAGCACTTTCCATGGAAGTAGCGATACAGCAGTGAGAAATATGTCGTATCAACCCTTTGCGGGTTATTTAAAGCCAGAAAATATTTTTAGATTACAAAAATTGTTTTTTTAGATAATAATAATTTAGTGATACAAGTCTTACTAATTAACCCATAGCGGGGGAGAAGAGGCGGATTTATACCTTTCCTAAGGGTAATTACGCGTAAGTGAATATAATGAATCCAAATGGAATTGGAACGCATCTCTCCGATTAATAATTTTGAGCCATTATTCATTACTCCAATCGCACAGCCAAGCTTAAAGCACCTGGTATTCCCAAGCGGTCACCCATCTAGGTATTGACCAGGCTCTTCGTTGCCTAACTTCGATGGTCGTATATGAACCGATGTTACAACTTGATATGACCGTAAAGAATTCTTGTTGAGTTATTTAATGACGGATATATGTTAATGATTATGGTAATATTAACCATTTCCTTATAAGGAAATATTTAGCATTCAACCGCCATCTTCTTTCTTCTTGAAATCTGTTTTTTTTCTATTGTCGTTTCCGCTAAAGTCTTCTCATTCTCTTCCACTCCTACTAAACCCTTGCGTCTTAGTGGCACTATTGCCTTGATTTTTAATATAAAAATCATATTTTGACAACTGTTGCTTATAAGAAAATTTTTTCTTGTTTAATTATTGGATTAGTGAAATGCTTGTTGATGGTAAAAACAGCTTTTACGGAACTATTAGATGTGTGTATATAATTTCCGGGTAAAACCCAATTCTTACCTGTGTATTAACAGTATTTATTCCGTCAACCTCTCAAACAGAGACAAATGGTCGAGTTTAAAGGAGAAACCATTGTGTACATGGACAAGGGACAAAATTTACGGAAGTCCGTTCTGTAATTCCTCTTTGGGGAACGCTTCAGACCAGTTAATCACTTTCCGACTAGTGGCATTGCCTGGAAGATAAAATTTTAACCGCGCCGGTCCGATTGTGTATTAAGTCCCTAATGAAAAAAAGAAAATAATAAATAAACACTGGGAACTTTTTTTTTTTTTTGCACAGTCCAAATAGAGTCTACAGTTCTCTTGAGCACCCATTTCCTTGAAATAGATAATGGTTTTTGTTTGGTCACCGAAGATAAGCAACGTCAAACTTAGTCAGGATTTGGATAGGTGACCGCTACAAAAGAATAGATGATAATTCTGTCTTTGTATCAAACGAAGCATAATCAATCAGGATTATGGTAAATCAGAATTATTTATCGTTTTCTACGCCCGGCTTAGATATGGTACAAGGCCGAAAGTATGGAGTACCCTGTGAGGATCGAACTCACTAATTAACTGTAATTGTTCTAACGTGACAACCTTACACCACGTTGATGCGCCCTAGTCAATCAGGATTATGTAGTGATCGTGATATACACAAATTAAGCTGAAAGGCTGTTATCCGCGGTATATTGGGTGCTGGTGGTGAGCTCCGCGGATAGTAGCGAACAACATAGTATTAAGTATGTCCAAAAATTCTCAGCGGGAAATCCATACCTATTTTAAGAAAAATGTAATTAAATTCTTAATGTTTTCTGGCCTAACATGTTACTATCACTCGGAAGACATTTTATATTTATGTCTTCCACCCACATATTTGGCGGAGGAGCGAAGAGCTCAAATTAATATGAGAGTCACCTGATAACTTTCCATTTTCCGCGTCGGTAACCGTTACGGTACCTGCACATTCGGGGTCAAATTTATACGATTGAGCCTATTTCATTCGCTTGGCACTAATGTCTTTGAAAAGGCATGAATCCATCTTCCCCCAGTTTTGGGTTAGATAGCAGGGAAGATATGGATCTGTTGCTTTGGGTAGGAGAAGCAAAACTCTGAATTCAAACCCTCGTAAATAAAAGGGCCGACTCGGTTTTTCGATCTTGATACGTCAGTCACTCTAGGAAAAGAAAAACTCTTTGTACGGCAACCTCTTTAGGAGAAGGAAAACTCTGAATTCAAACCCTTGTAAAGTAATTAGGCACACTGGGTGTTTCAATCATAATACGTCAACTTATCTAGGAGAAGGAAAATTCTAAATTCAGACCCTCGTAAATAAAAAGGAAGACTGGGTGTTTCAATCGTAATACGTCAACTTATCTAGGAGAAGGAAAATTCTAAATTCAGACCCTCGTAAATAAAAAAGAAAGACTGGGTGTTTCAATCATAATACGTCAACTTATCTAGGAGAAGGAAAATTCTAAATTCAGACCCTCGTAAATAAAAAGGAAGACTGGGTGTTTCAATCTTAATACGTCAACTTATCTAGGAGAAGGAAAATTCTAAATTCAGACCCTCGTAAATAAAAAAGAAAGACTGGGTGTTTCAATCATAATACGGCAACTTATCTAGGAGAAGGAAAACTCTGAATTCAAACCCTTGTAAAGTAATAGGGCATACTGGGGTTTTCAATCTTGATGCTCAACCAGTTTGAACAAATTTTGATTATGACGATGGAAAAATTTTTCAAATTTTTAAAAATTAGTCCATTATCTTAACCAAATCACACATCGAATCTCAACATGAGCATAAACAAAGATAAAACTTACTGTGATTCATTCACGACATGAAAGGTAGTGTTGGCTTATGGGAAACTCCAGTGCCCACCAATTTCTACTGAAACTAAAAACTAAACAGAAGGCTAAATTTTGTATCTTTTGTCTCAATCTATGACTTTGCTATTGAACTGACCTGCATCATTTGCCTAACAACATACATAAACGATCATGGCTCTCCACCACTTCCTAGTCTGTGTGGCTCTTTGCAGGGTTTCTCCCTTTGTTAACCATTCGCACAAGCTCGACAGGTAAGTGGCTGTCATTCAATCAGTTATGTGCCATGCGTGATACACGCTTAGACGATACATGACTAACGAGGCAGATTTTTTTTCCGCAGTAGGCTGTTATTTCTTTCTGCGGTAGACCAGTTGCCATCCAAGGCTATAGAACCCGGCCTGTCTCTATAGCTGGGGGTAGAAGAAGAGGAGTCATACCTTTCCCAATGGTATTAATACGTCAGTGAATATAATGGATTATGTAATAGCGGCTCGGCTCTCCGATTCCTCAATCCGAACCGCTGTCCACTACTCAACCGCTCCCTGTTATTCCCAGAATAAATCAGAAACTTCATTTTTTTCGAAATAATGGCTTCTAAGACTCTTATAGGAATTATGTATGCGGGAGAAGTCTACAGGTCGCATTCCAGAAAATAAGTACAAGCAAAAAAAAAAGCAATAATAATAGGAATATTGACCAGACCTCGATGTTCTCCAAATCCATGAATGTCTTAGAAGCAGTCGTCTTAAGGCGGGTGGGGCATAATGGACCTTATTATGGCAGCACAAGACCAATATCTTCCAAGAACTGCCTACATGACTAAAATCAACAAAGATGGCACAAATACCGCCTTGTCGCTTATGCCATAAATTTAATGAAACTATTGACCAAATAGTATCAGGGTACCCAATCCTTGCTGAGAAAAAATACATTATTAGACATGACAGGCTAGAGTCAATATATTAATTGGCATGTCTGTTCGAACTATGGTATTGAAGTCCTGGATATAAGATACAAACACCACCCGAATGATATCATAAATGGTGATGGGGTGACTATACTGTGGAATTTCCCGTAACAGTCAGGAAAATGGATGCAAATACATCAAACATAGTCATAAAAGATTTCAAAAAAGGAACCTGCCAAATAATTGGTATCACTTGCCACAGGCTTCCAAAGTTTCTCAGAATTTCCAAAACTGTAAGGACATGCAAATCGAAGTAAGAAAAATGTGGAAACCTAAAACTATGATTATCTCAGTTGTGATAGGGGCATTGGTTAAATTGTTAATGTGTAATAAAGAAAGGGGACCGAAAATCATGTAAGTACAATTCCTGAGCACATCAGCATCTCAGAACTACAAAAGATTATGCTCAAAACCCATCTCCATTTAAATGAGACTTCCCAAATGTGTATAGATAAATTTTCCTACAGTGCCATTTTCACTCATATATTACGGAGGGGATTTGATAATTAGGCACTCTCTGGCAAGGTGAGAATAATTATGTATTTAAAAACAAAGCCCAAAAAGTATACACTCAGATATAAAAATATTCATTTTATGGAAGGATAACTTAAAAATATGGAATCAGGAAAATTGAAAACTGATTTAGCCCTCAGCTCACTTACGTTTTATTTTGTGGCACCCTGCTTGCAATTAGGATTATTAAAAAATAAATTTACAAACCTAATTAAAATTAGCGTACCTTATAAAGAATTTCATTACTTTAGTCTTGTTGCAATTACTGTATATACTCGCGTATCATGCGACTTTTAAAGATCGAATTTTGAAGCTAATTTTAAGAGGGTTGCATCATACACGAGATATAAAATGAATGTGTGTACTGTTGGCTCCGGCTACGCCGTTGACTAAACGATATATCCATTTACTGCAGTTAAAATGTACAGCTGGATTTAAAATAAACATAATTTTGAATAAACTGATGTTTTACTATCCAATAATAATGCATGTAATATTCACATATTATTATCGTGTTATAAAATACAAACATAGCGAATATGCATCTTTTCCATTGTTTACGTTTATAAGATGTTTGGCTGTTTCTCGTTCGTGGTGTACGCGTTTACACGACGAGTGTAGCGTTACTAACTTATTTAACTAGAAGATGGGATGAAGAGATAGAGGAAAAGAGGTTCATCTATTGTAATTTCGTCTCTCAAAAAAGAAACTTGCATGATACTCGAGATACATGATAAAATCATTTTTTATAAGTGAAAATTTAGGGGTCGCGCGATACGCGAGATCGTGCTTTACACGAGTAGGTACGGTATTAGAGATATCCACTTATATGTTTGCTACAAATGATCATTCTTGTCGAATACACAATCGCAATAGTCTAGTCAGTGTCCTCTTGACATCCAATATTTTTACTTGGTGTTTTTGTCAGCAATTAGTAGTCTTGTTAATAGTCTTGGATTTAATTGGACTAGATCAGGAGTTCCCAAACTTTTTGTCGTCATCGCCCTCTTTCACATGGAAAGTACTCGCCTGTATAGTAAATTTTCAAAGCATACCAAAATTGTTTGGTAAATGTTTGTTACTGGTTCGTAAACTGACTTTATGATGTAGTAAAAAATACGAAAGAGAGGTCACAACAAACACTGACTTATGAGGTGGCTGCTGCTGCTACTACTGTTCTGAAGACCAAACGAAAACAATCTTAACCATTGAAAACTATGTAATACCAAAATATCCTTTGTTTGCGGGGATATTTATATCTTATCTAAGAACGGGAGCCATTTAGCCTCCAGTTTTTGTTTTTTCCTTTTTTACAGGTTCGTTGCATATCTTTGAAT